TTGTTAGCCCTGCCAGTGGAGATCCTGTTCCCTGGGCTTGCAGGTGGTGGCATAGGTGACTGACAGGAGATGCATCTCCCGGGGTGTAGATTCTCCTCTGCAGCTCTGAAAGAGTTGGGCTGTTTTTGCTGGCACCGTTTTTTGTGCTGTCTTTTATTTCAGATTTCAGTTAAGGTGTTTTCCAGACCAGATTAGATCTGGTGAAAGTTTTTGCTTCTAACAATAAGATGCTTAGGAACTTTACAGTCTGACTTGGGGTGGTCTTTCACTTTCTCGGTTTTTTTTTTTTTTGCTTTAGCTTTGTCTGTGATGGCTGCCTAAAGAAAACAGGACGAACCAGGAAAGAGAACAAATTTTCTGCTAAAAGTAAGATTCTGACACTTGCACCAACAAATCTTAAATAATTTAAGAATGGGGAAGCAGTGGCTTTTATTGTAATAATTTATTTAATTATTATTGTTAATTTATTTTGCATTTATTTCAGTCTTTTTAGTTGAAGCAAGATACTTTTTGTCAGTTTTGAACATCAGTTCTGTGACGTTCAGAGTATGTTCACATTCACAGGTGTTGTCATTGGTCAGTAGTCTGTTGTAGATGGTTAACATACTGCTTTAGAGCACTGCTAATGCAAGATACACATTCTTTTATCTCAATTGCAGTATTAATAGTATTGGGAAGTAGTTGCTGTGTGACTGCAGTCTTAAATTTATGATAACGTGTTCAAGTCACTGTGACTACTGCTGCTTTTAAAAGCTTTGGTGGAGATAAAGGTTGCATCAGCTGGTGACAAAACTCTGTAGACTTTTCCTCTTGATCAAGGCAGCTGATTTGAAGGCAGTGTAGGAGGAAATTTGTGTAGTTATTGTCCATCTGTTCTGTAGACAAAATAAGTCTTGCAGCGGCTTCTTAGATTGATTTACTTCTTAGAAATAGTGAGTATTTACATTTCTGCTGAAAAAAAATAAAAACAAAATCTCCTGCCAATGAATAGCATCAAGATTCTGAAAAGTATTAACTGTAGTGTTAAGCAGTTACTTTTTGAGATCCCTCTTTGGAAAAAGAGGAGGGAGGATATCGAGACTGAATTGTCTTGAGATTTGGGGGGTGGCTTACAGTTCAGTCACGGAAAATGTTCTCTTATGTTCTTATGAAATGGAAAGCAAACTACTCAATGAATGCTTTCGACATCTGAGTCTTTTTCCAGAATCAAAACTTCCCAGATTCACCAAGAATACAGAAAGAACACAAGGGTTCTTTTAGAGTTTTTATCAGCTTTTGTTTTTAGCAACTTGTATATATTGCATTCTTAATGTAGTACAGTGATGCTTTACTGACATATGTCAAAGTGGAAGAATAAAAAGCTGATTAGCAGATACGTAACTCTACCAGATGTAATGGACAGCAGTGAGACAGGCCCTCTGACACCATAAATCTTAAATTCCCTTTCAGCTTTAGGTTTTGTGTCAGTGAGCGTTACTCTTGTGCTTCTTTTGTATGAAGATTGTTTGAAAACGAGAAACTTCTAGACTAACTGCATTACTTGCAGATACAGTTGTATTTAGTGCTCTTTCTATTCTTGAAATATGTTATTTTGGTAAGTGCAGAGACTAACTTGGCTGATGTGGCTTTACAGACAATATGCTTCCAAATGCAATGTCTGCTCTTGAAGCTGCGTCTGAGAGCAGTGATTTGTAATCCAGTTTAAGTAATTGAAAGCTGCTGTTCAGGAGGAGCCTTAATTGTGATTGACTTTTAAGACAGATAAAATTGGGTTGAAATACAGAATCTTTCTTCATTTAAATGATGTATAGTTCATAAACATGCCTGCAGGTGAAAAGCAGCTCACACCCATCTAGAATTGTTAGTGTTTAAAGATAAAGCTTTAATTTATTATAACATACTGCATGCATTAAAAGTCACTTCTCATTTAGTATCTGAATAGAGAAATCTCACTTGAGCAGTTCAGTTTTGTATGTATTCAGAGCTGTATTTTTCTCTGCAGGGTTACCGGCTACGAGACTTGGTACCTTCTTGGAGAACAGAGTCAATGATTTCTTAAGACGACAGAATCACCCTGAGGCAGGAGAGGTTACAATTAGAGTTGTACATGCATCTGACAAAACTGTCGAAGTAAAACCAGGAATGAAAGCAAGGTATGTTCTCTCAATTTCTAATTTTGCTGTCTTTTGAGGGAGATGGAAGCTATTTGAATTTACTTATATGGTACTATTTAGAAAAAAATTAAGACTGTTATATTCAAAACCTCACCACTGACCAGTTCTTGAGAAGCAGGTGTTACAGCAGCATATATCAATTAGTTGTGATGAGTGTAATCTTTTTCATAGTAAAAGGTAGATGCATTTAACTTCAAAGCTACACTGAAGTTATACTTACAGTAGCCCTCAACATTGTTATCTTTACTTAGTGACATGTATTCTTTAGCATGTAAATACATTTGGTGTTCCCCTTTGCCCTCTGTAATCTGCAGGTTTGTAGACAGCGGAGAGATGGCCGAGTCTTTCCCTTACCGAACAAAAGCGCTTTTTGCCTTTGAGGAGATTGACGGTGTAGACTTGTGCTTCTTTGGGATGCACGTACAGGAGTATGGCTCAGACTGTCCTCCACCCAATCAAAGGTGAGGAGCTGTGTGAAAGTTAATCTTATATTGGTCCTGTCTCAGTTGGGTGAACCTTTTGCATGTGTGCAAAAATAGCTCCTGTGGGGAATGTGTCTCTTAAGAGTCGCTGCTTACTGGGGATGCTGGCTGGCAGACAGTGTTGCCTTAAGGATCAGCTGTCAGTATTCTGAAGGAAAGGATTGCATAGTTTTGGAGAAATGAGTCTAGGATATCAAAAGAAAGCTGCATTTTTATAAGTAAGTTAGGATCAGAGGCTTTGAAGGCTGTTACTATATCGGATGCTTCAAATGTATAAAATAATGTGAATAAACTTGTAGAACTGCTTCGAAATATGTGTTTCTCATCATGCCTCTTCTTTTTTTTAGACGAGTGTATATATCTTACCTTGACAGTGTTCATTTCTTCCGCCCTAAATGCTTGAGGACTGCTGTCTATCATGAAATACTAATTGGATATCTAGAATATGTCAAGAAACTAGGGTAAGTCTTTTTTTTTTAATGTTTTCTTCTGTGCAGCATTTGTGCTAGGTAGTTCTTATTGTAAATGAAATTACTACATCCTATTGTGCAGAGTATGGTGCCTGAATGTCAACTGGTGACAGAGTAACTTGGCAACAACTGCATATAGTTGAAAAGGAGAAAAGACAAAAAGTGATTCCAGGCTTTTCAGCAGAGGCTTTTGTTTCAGATATCTTTAGTTTTCCAAGCTTATGGAAAACTTCCTTAAGTCTAAGTAGAAAAAGTGAGCTTTTTTTATCTGGACCATAAATTTTTGCTGACCTTGTTGATAGTGCAGTCTGTGTAAAATGCCACTGCTTTAATCAGGTCATTCCTCTGGGCTGGCAAGTTAAGTTCTTACCCTTTCTCCTCATAAACATGGGTAAGTGTGTTCTGTTATTGCTGTAACAGCTGTGTAAGGCCACTAAGAAGTCTCTTATAGAGTAAGTAGTTGAAATTGTGAGAAACTGAAAAGTTAGAAGAGAAAGAGGAAAGTGTACTTGGGATGGCACAAAAGAACATAGAACCACTGAAGAAATCAGAAAGGTGGAAGTTAAATGACTATGGTTACTAAAGTGGAAAAGGAAGTGAAGTAAACATCAATCTATTGTCAAAGGTATCTAGGTATCTAGTGTACCTTGGCAGAGAGTTATTAATGAATAAATAGTTAGGGACTAGGTTTAGAGTAATTGCATGATAAAAATTAGGAGAGTCAGAATGGAGGTTGGTGATATCACCTTAGTGAGATGATGCATTTCTTATACTTCATAGGCAAATATTAGACTTCTTTCTGCTTTTTTTTAATTGTGTATTTTCTAACCTATGAGTCCGAAATTGCAGCATATTGCTCAGGCCTCAGTTTCACTTAATGCTGTTTTCTGTGCTAATGGGTAACATCAGGTTCTCATTTTGGGAAAACAATATTGGTTGCAGTATCATCTCTCCCTTCTCAGGCAGAAGGAATGACAACTGGCTGCAGTTCCCTGGGTTTGGGTAGGGTTCTGCAGAGCCATTTCTCAACATGGCAAGGATTGTTATTTTTCTCTAACTTGAGAGATCTGATTATTCCTCCTACTGGAGTTCTTTTCAAAAACTAATAGAGTAGAACTGAGGATGAAGAAGTGATCTTTATGGTATTATATTCTCTGCAGCTGCTACTTACTTGAATGTAATTTGTCTTCCTAGTACTTATATTGTGCACCCAGTAGCATAGGTTGACAGTGACTGTTTATTCCCAGATATAATTGTGAAATCATCCAGAATGAATCTTCGGAATTAAAAACCAGAGGATTTATAGTAGAAAAGTGAATTGTGTTTAAATAAATCTGATTTTAAAATGTTGCTAGATAATGAATGGCTGCACTATCTCAAGGAAAAGGAATTTTTTGGCTTTTACTACTGAAATCCTTAGTCTCCATCTCTCTCCCATTAGGTAATTGGTAGCAGTTGCAGGTCTGTATCAGGCTTTGATTTTCATCTAGACTGGAGAACGTGCACTTTTCATGTAAACTACTCTGCATTTTAAAAAAATTAGTGAAAAGATGGTAATGTTATCACATGAATGAAGCCAGAATGAACACTAGAATTAAAATCTTGGAGAGCTGTAATTATTGTCCATCTGGGAACACCAGCTAACTTTGTGGTGGCTCCATCTGGTGGCAGAGAGGAGAGACACTCTCTAGTATTAATCATCGGAGCTCACGTATACTTTTTTTGTCTAATGGTGCTAGGTATACTACTGGACATATCTGGGCATGCCCACCTAGTGAAGGAGATGACTACATCTTCCATTGCCATCCTCCTGACCAAAAGATACCCAAACCCAAACGACTGCAAGAGTGGTACAAAAAGATGCTGGACAAATCTGTGTCGGAGCGCATTGTGCATGATTACAAGGTTTGTTAAGAGTATTTTTGTATTGGGGAGGCGGTGTTTGACCTGTTGTGTCTTGGTTTTTTCCTTGCCTTATGCATTGTGCCTGATTCTTGGAGTTCACAGTATTAAAGTGAACTGAGCACTAAAAGTTTAGAGTTAAAGTATATCTTCTTCAGAGCATGTAGCTTCTGAAATCATTCTAGCAAGAGATTTGAAATGATACCTTAGGACAGACTTCTTGAGGAATACTGTAGAAGACAGTGAATCTCATTTCTTTAATACAAAGAAAATATCTGGAGTTCTTAATCTTCCTGTGTTAAATAAAATTATGCCGTTAGTCTGCTGACACAGTTAGAAGTACGTAAAATCTCTGGAATTATCACGACTTCAGCTAGTGCTGGCAGTATAGTGATTATATTGTCCCACCTGGTAACTATGCACATTAAAGTCTGTCAGGTGGCAATGATTTATTTCTTCTGAGTAGAAATATTTGAAGTGTAACTGATGCAGTGTTAAATCTGCACTTAAAATATGCCCTCATAAATGAATTAAGCTCGCCTTTGTTTGATCTGCTGGTGCCTTTTTTTAATAGCTTATTGAAAAGGCTGCCTTTACTTATGTGACTTGTAATAGTAGTAGCCAAGTGCTTTGCTCTTTTTCAGGATATATTTAAGCAGGCAACAGAAGATCGCCTAACAAGTGCAAAAGAGCTACCTTACTTTGAAGGGGATTTCTGGCCCAACGTTCTGGAGGAGAGCATTAAGGAACTAGAGCAAGAGGAAGAAGAACGGAAGAGAGAAGAAAACACTAGTAATGAAAGCATGGATGTAAGAATGATTCTGCTGTTTCATGATCTAATGTAGATGTTGTGATTGCCTATGGCTAATTAAAAGAAAAAAGGATGGAGCATAGGCACTTGAGTTAACTGGCTTATTCTCCTTAACTCTAATATAAATTCAAATTTTCTAAATTAGAGGTGTAAAAATACCACTAAGCTACATTTGTACGAACAGTGGCTGTTAATGTGACTGTAAATGTAACTAATCACCAAAGTCAGTCAGACTGAAACGCCTGCTAGTTGAATATTTTGTGGCTGAAATCCAGTTATTATCAATGTTCATGCTGCAACCTCAGCCTGACTTGGAAACTTCTTCTTTAAGCTTCAGTTTTTGGACAGTGGCTATCTCCTTTCTTTCTGACTTAAATGTTGCTATACCAATCTTAGCAGAACATTCTGGGAAAGGAAGGGAGAGCTGTGATTTAGTAGTTTACTCAGTATAGGGTTCTTTTTAATAGAAAGCGTTAAGGTTTTGAGGGTCTGAAGCACAATACTACTGAATTGGTGTAGGGCTACCTAAACTACAGAAACTTCTTGCTCTGTCTTGTGCAACTTTTTTGAGAACATGCAACAACTGTGCTTTCATATACCACAAAGAACAAAAAAAGGTACTCCTCTTAGTTCAGCAATAAACTTGAAAATTAACGGATGCGGAATGTATGCATCTGCCCATCCTTGGATCTTCCCAGCTTTTATGGAAGAGGTGGTGCATCTGGGATATAATTAGTAGTTTTGTAGGACTTGTTAGTTAACTCTGTTTAAACATTGCTGCTTCATCACCTTTTTAGATATTAGATTTTTGCTGAGGTTTAGAATTAATCTTTTTTGTAAAACACCTTTGGATCAAGTAAGTTAGGTTTAACATTACAACTCAAATTGGTGATTCTCCTGTGCTGCTCTTTGCAGTACCTCCTTTCAAGGACTTTGAATGGACTAAGTGCAAGAGGAACCTAGGAATCGGGCAACTGGATATCAGATTTGCATTAACTAACTTCTTACTTAGGAAGATGTTATAAAGTTTTGTTTTTCACTTGGCATAGCTGCAAGTTCCCATCTCTCATATACTAGAAAGCAGTCGTGAGGAATCTGACCTAGCTCTACGTGTGAGGTTGGTCCTTCACAGCACTCTGAACCCAGAATCCTGCATCAGGGGAAGCTTGCAGCATATTACTATTTAACCTTTATCGTTAAAAATAATTTCAACTCTTTGTAGAACCCGTGCTTCACTTCTTGAAAATAAGGCAATAATAAACTGTATCCTCAAACAAACTGATAATCATTCACATTCACTGGAAATTTCCATCCTGACAAAGTTATTTTAAGCTTAGGGAAAAACACTTATTTGGATAAGAATTGCTTTGATCCTTGATCATCATATGCTGCAGTGTTTTGAGGGGCCCTCTGAGAAGCACAGAGAGGAATAAACTGTTCATTGCTAATTGATTATAATTGAAATTAAGCTGACCCACTTTGACTGTTCTGCAGGGTATGACAGGAGGAAGGTGCATACTAGAGATTGCACTACTGATGCCTTTTGGACTTAGAACAGCAGCTTCACACCAAAAACAGTTTAATGCAGTCTATTAACATGAAAAATAAACCTGAGAGAGAGCTGTTACAAACTAAATCTAGGCAGATTAAGTCTTTCTTACCTCTGGTTAGTGCAACATCAGTTGTACTTTTCAGTTGTTTTTAGTGCAGAATTTCATTGAGAAGCTGTCTTCTGAACCCTTTTGTGATTATCCAAGAGGTTCTTCAGTGTTCAATTATTTACTGAAACCTATTTGTCTGCTATAACATTTCCCTTGCACCTCCTGAGCATTTATGCTTTTAATACTTTTAGAATTATGTGTTGATGATTGATATCTTCCGGAGTGATTCTAATTGAATTAATTTAATGTTTTGGGGGCCCCTGGTAAGTGTCTTTGGAGTAAATTATTGGAAAGTGTTTGTCCTGCAGTTACAGAAAATGTGAAAGTAATAAAATGCTGATGTGGTTGGTGTGACTTAAATACCTGACATAAAATACCTTTAAAATTAATAGGTGAGCAAGGGAGACAGCAAAAATGCCAAAAAGAAGAACAATAAGAAGACAAGTAAGAACAAGAGCAGCTTGAGTCGTGGCAATAAGAAAAAGCCTGGCATGCCCAATGTGTCCAATGACCTCTCCCAAAAGCTGTATGCCACTATGGAGAAGCACAAGGAGGTAAGAGATGGTAGAATGAGAAATAGTATTTTACTTAAGTAGTGAGGTGTACAAAGCTCTGACACTTCAGAGTTGTGCCCTGTAAATTATACAGGTTTGCTGGAGAATTGAGTGGCAACAGCAGACAAGTACCAGTACCAGCCTGGGTGCATTTTGCTGTGAGAGCAGTTGGGATAAATACAGCTATGTTTGTACAGAACTTCCTAACTTAAATCTATGATTTTAAGTTTCTAAATCTTTAGATTGTCACAGCTGTTTTACTGCTTAGTCCAGTGCTCCTTACCTAATGCTTCTGAAGAAGGTGAACCTGCAGGGCACCCAGAGGTTTGAAATTCCCCAGCCCTTAGAAGCCCTTACCTTGGCAGCACATCGTTCAAGTGTTAGTTGGTCCTGGAATCGTATATTCTGTGTAATGAAGTTTTGGTGACCAAAACACCCTGAAAAGTGCTGGCCTAGTAAGTCTTTTTATTTTTCAGGTCTTCTTTGTCATCCGTCTCATTGCTGGCCCTGCAGCCAACTCCCTGCCCCCCATCGTTGAGCCTGACCCACTCATTCCTTGTGACCTGATGGATGGGCGAGATGCTTTCCTAACCCTTGCTAGAGACAAGCACCTGGAGTTCTCCTCACTACGAAGGGCTCAGTGGTCAACCATGTGCATGCTGGTGGAGCTGCATACCCAGAGCCAAGACCGCTTTGTTTACACCTGCAATGAGTGCAAGCATCATGTGGAGACCAGATGGCACTGCACTGTTTGTGAGGTATGCTTGGTGAAGTTTCCCCTACTTGTGTCCCTCCATCTCTGCCTGGAGTACTCTTTACCTGAACTAATTTCTCAGTATTAACTGATAGGAAAAAACTCTGTACAGCTCATCCTCTGGGCAGTTCAGAAAGTCAGGAGATGAAACGTTTTCTGTAACAGGCAGTTCTACTAATCTGCTACTTGGTGTGACTTTTGTCTTTTTCTGTGGAGAACTGAAGTAGAATTGTATTTCCTCTGGTTCAGTTAAGGCACTGCTGCTTAAGCAGTTGGGAACTGTAGCAATTGCTTGAGCTGTAACAGTGGGATAGCTGATTTTTCTGAAGAGCAGTGCATCCTTTCTTCTTCCAGAGTCAGAAGTGCTGTGCTGCAATATTTCTGTAAATGGGGCTGTCCACTGGTTTACTGGCCCAGAGGTTTTGCTACGCAGGAAGTCAGATTCCTATACTTGGGTGACTGTTCCACTACCCTGCTGCCTCATTTTTGTCTTCAGAAGTGGTTTGTAATACCAGTGTATTGGAGGTTGAGTCCAGTGGTCTGGGTCAATGCTGAGCCCTCCAGAAGCTGGATTAACCTTGAATCTGGCTTGTAACTTAGTTTTTTAGCCTGCTGGAAGTAAGTGACTGTCACAGATCCAGTTCTGAAAAGCTCTTATTAAAATCTGATGCTCCTGTTTCCTTGAATATAGCAGAAAATATATTCTAAATTTTCTATGGAGTAATGAATCCTGAGGATGTGGATCAGTTATTCAGCCCAATCTCTTGTGCTGTTGCTTTCAAAGAATGTAAATGCTTCTTCTGCCCAGTATGTTCTGCTGTTTAACTCACCTGAAAACTGAAAATGCAGCTTTCATTTTCCTCTGTTTTTTGAAAATTTGTACCTCTCCTGCTACTCTTGCCCTCTTCTTTTGAAGCAGCAGCAGATGGGCAGCTATTTGTTCCTTGCCTTTTTCTTCTCCTTTCCTATCGGGAAAGGAAGGGATTTTCCTGGCCCAGCTGAATAATGTGTGACTTCTTAGCTCAGAACAAACCTGTTTTTCAAGCTATATGTATTTATGTAGATTTCAGACACCCTTGCTCCCACACGCTTTCCCTGGCTAAAATTTGGATTTATTCCTTCTCTAGTACCTCAACATGGTCTGAAAGATGAATTTTTTTTCCCCTAGAGCAACAATTTGCCTGGAACAGACTGAGAGTAATTTGTTGAGGTGGCATGACATTTATTTACTGTATGGAGTTTCAGGAACACTGATAACTTTTCCTTCATTGCTTTTCCAGGATTACGACTTGTGCATCACCTGCTATAACACTAAAAACCATGACCACAAGATGGAAAAATTAGGCCTTGGTCTCGACGATGAGAGCAACAACCAGCAGACTGCAACCACCCAGAGCCCCGGTGATTCCCGCCGCCTGAGCATTCAGCGCTGCATCCAGTCTCTGGTCCACGCCTGCCAGTGTCGTAACGCCAACTGCTCACTGCCGTCCTGTCAGAAGATGAAACGGGTTGTCCAGCACACCAAAGGCTGCAAACGCAAAACCAACGGAGGGTGCCCCATCTGCAAGCAGCTCATTGCTCTTTGCTGCTACCACGCAAAGCACTGCCAGGAGAACAAGTGCCCGGTGCCCTTCTGCCTCAACATCAAACACAAGCTCCGTCAACAGCAACTTCAGCACCGCCTGCAGCAGGCGCAGATGCTCCGGAGGAGGATGGCGAGCATGCAGCGGACCGGTGTGGTAGGCCAGCAGCAAGGATTGCCCTCACCCACACCAGCCACCCCGACGACTCCAACAGGCCAGCAGCCCCCTACGCCGCAAACCCCGCAGCCCCAGCCTCCGCCCCAGCCTGCCTCGCAGCCTCAGCCTGCACCTCCCAACAGCATGCCACCCTACACCATGCCAAGAGCTCAGCCCCCCAGCGCTGTGTCCCAGGGCAAGGCAGGTGGCCAGGTGACTCCTCCAACTCCACCCCAGCCACCTCAACCACCAGTTCAGGGTCCTCCTCCAGCAGCGGTGGAAATGGCCATGCAGATCCAGCGGGCAGCAGAGACCCAGCGTCAGATGGCGCAGGTTCAGATCTTCCAAAGGCCGATTCAGCACCAGATGCCCCAGATGCCACCTATGGGAATGAACCCTCCACAGATAGGCAGAGGTCCTGGTGGTCATATAGATCAAGGAATGGGGCCGGCAGGAATCCAACAGCAGCCACCATGGGTGCAGGGGGGCTTACCCCAAGCTCAGCTGCAGCCGGGAATGCAGAGGCCATCCATGATGTCAGTAGCCCAACCGGGTCAGCCGATGAATATGGCACCCCAGCCTGGGATGGGTCAGGTCCCTGGCACTGCTCAGCCCAAACAACCACCTCTGCCCCAGGCGGCCTTACAAAACCTACTGCGGACTCTCAGGTCTCCCAGCTCACCCATGCAGCAGCAGCAGGTGCTTAACATCCTTCACTCCAATCCTCAGCTGCTGGCCGCTTTCATCAAGCAGCGGGCTGCCAAATATGCGGGGTCCCAGAACCCCCAGGGGATGGCAGGTCAGCCTGGCATCCCCCAGGGTCAGCCGGGGCTCCAGCCACAGCAGGCCATGCAAGGGCAGCAAGGAGGGGTGCACCCCAACCCAGCCATGCAGAACATGAACCCCATGCAAGCAGGAGTGCAGAGACCCAGCATGCCCCAGCAGTCAAGCAGCGGGCTGCCAAATATGCGGGGTCCCAGAACCCCCAGGGGATGGCAGGTCAGCCTGGCATCCCCCAGGGTCAGCCGGGGCTCCAGCCACAGCAGGCCATGCAAGGGCAGCAAGGAGGGGTGCACCCCAACCCAGCCATGCAGAACATGAACCCCATGCAAGCAGGAGTGCAGAGACCCAGCATGCCCCAGCAGCAGCCGCACCGCAGCAAGCCATGGCTGGGATGAATCCTCAGGCGCAGCAGATGAATATGAATCACTCGGGGATGGCTCCCCAGTTCCGAGACCTCCTGATGAGACGGCACCAGATGATGGAGCAGCAGCGCCACCAGCAGCAACAGCAGCAGCAGGGGGCAGGACCAGCACTGGGGCCAGGAATGGCCAACCACAACCAGTTTCAGCAGCCCCAGGGCGTCGGATACTCCCAACAGCAGCAGCAGCAGCAACAGCAGCAGCGCATGCAGCATCACATGCAGCAGATGCAGCAAGGAAACATAGGACAAATAAGCCAGCTTCCCCAGGCGATGAGTGCAGAGACAGGAGCCAGTTTGCAGCAGGCTTTCCAGCAGAGGCTGCTTCAGCAGCAGATGGGGTCCCCGGCTCAGCCCAATCCGATGAGCCCCCAACAGCACATGCTCCCCAGTCAGGCCCAGTCCCCACACCTACAGGGCCAGCAGCTCCCTTCATCGCTCACCAATCAAGTGCGTTCTCCGCAGCCTGTACCCTCGCCACGGCCCCAGTCCCAGCCCCCCCATTCCAGCCCATCACCCCGGATGCAACCTCAGCCTTCTCCACACCACGTCTCCCCGCAGACCAGCTCCCCGCATCCAGGACTGGTGGCTGCCCAGGCTAACCCCATGGATCAGGGGCACTTTGCCAGCCCGGACCAGAGTGCAATGCTTTCCCAACTTGCCAGCAATCCCGGCATGGCAGGCCTCCATGGTACAAGCGCCACGGAACTGGGGCTCAACTCTGAGAACACGGACTTGAATTCAAACCTTTCACAGAGTACACTAGACATACCCTAGACACGTTGGAGCATTTTGGGAGCAAAAAAAAAAAAAAAAATTAAAAATAAAAAATAAAAGTTAAAATTAAAAAACTTATTTTCTCAAGACTTTTTGTACTGAAGATGAATTTTTTTGAATCTTTCTTAGCTAAAACAACATTTTTCCCTGGAACACATCTGAACTCTGCAGCGGTAGTTTGTGGTAGCAAACCAACAATGAACCTGAGGGACAGTAGAGTACAAAGAATATATTTTTGTTATGGCTGGAATCATAACCAGTCCTTTTTTCTTGGTTTTATTTTTTTCCTTGTGTGTGTTGGGGAGGTCAAGGGAAGAGGGTGGTCTTTTGGCTGTTTACAAAAGGATGCCCTATCCATGCCTCCAATAGGTTTTGTTCTTGGTTTTGTTTTTTTTTTTAAATTAATGAAAATATGTAATATTGATAGTTATTATTTACTGAGGCAGATGGTAAACATTTTCCCTATTGTGGTTTTTCTTCATGTCACTGCAAAAAAAAGAAACACAACAAAGAAACTAAACAAACATAAAAACCACAGGAGAACCTTTTCCTAAAACCGGAGGACAAAAGGGGTTAATGTTGCTTTAAAAATACATTACGTATATAAATATATATATATATAAAAATAAATACCAATCGTTTCCTCTTTGGTTGGAAATATGTCAATTCTTTGAAAAAATGTAAAAAGATTAAATAACTCAGTCCCCTCCTGGAGTCTACTTTTGTCCTCCACGAATTTTCTATACAAGAGTCTGAGCTTAAAAAAAAACAAACAAAAAAACAAAAAACTTCAAGTATTAAAATAATTTGTACATGTAGAGAGAAGACAACATTTTTGCAAATACACAGGGGCAGCTGCCAAATGGATGTAGTATATATATTGTGGTTTCTGTTTTCTTGAAAGAATTTTTTTGTTATTTTTACATCTAACAAAGGAAAAAAAAATTAAAAAGAGGGTAAGAAACAATTCCAAGGGAATGATTTTAACCTGAGAAAGAGAAGTCCCTGGGGTTTCTTCTTTATGCTTGCTTTCTCTCTCC